GTGGCTCAGGTTATATTTCTACTGGACAGCACTGGTCTAGAGGCCTCCACAGCAAACAGCATGACCTGTAAGTGGTCTTTAAGATTGGAAGCAAGAGCTACTGTGGAATTGTGCTCCATATCAGGCTAATCAGAGAAGAATCTGACTTGGAGTAAAGGTTAAAACACACCCTGCATGTTTAGTTTCTCCACCCAAAGAATTTCAAGAGTACTCAACCTGACAGTGAAGTTATGCTTATAGACACAAGCCACTAGGGAAGAGAAATGTTTCTACAGCGTACGGAATACCTGCCTCACTTCGCTCTTTCCTAGTTGATGATGCAGCCTTCACTTGAGCTCTCTGGTTGCTAATTGTGCTCATTCCACTACAGAGTGAATCATGAATTCACTTGCTTTGAGTTTTTGTTGTTTGTTCCCCCAACCATTGCTGCTAAAATGAAGACCAGGGATCATTTCATGGAAGACAGAACTATGAATTTGATATTTTTCCATTTAATAGAAAATAAAACTTTTAGAATTTTATGTATGGGCAACCAACCAATGGCTAGTTTATTATTAGAGGAGACACACACACACACACACACACACACACACGGAAAAGTTCACACTGACCCCGAGTGTTGATATACATAAAAAGTTTAGTACCAAACCCCTGATGTGGGATTACCAGATTCCTGAATCAAAAACATACTGGGGGTCACTGCTCCCTTTGGCATTGCCCAGTCTGATCTGCTGACCAGCTTGTCTGCCCATAATTGTTTTCTGCCATTCATTTCCTCCAATTGTCAATTATTACTAAAACAATTATGAAAAAAAAAAGTGTGTGTCTTTGTTTCCTGTTGCTGATGAATATAGTGAAGTCACAGACCAGGCTAGTGCATCATAATCTTTTCCATTACAATGAATTATGCTGTCACAAACAGGATACAGCTCTTTACTGGGCAAAGAGGCTGTAAATGGGGCTGAGTTAGCTCAGACATTATTGTCAGCCATGACAGCAAGAAATCAACCCTGGGACTTGGCTCTCCACTTTTTTTTAAACACACTGGTTTTTGTTCCTGATTATAAGAGTAGTACATACTTATCTTGGAGAAAATGCTTATCCCAGAGACAAAGTAGAAAATAAAAATCCCCATTATCTCACCAAGGAGAGATTCCTATTGTTAATATTTTGATATGTAAATTTTTAATTAACTCTTCTTCATATAAACATATATGTTAAGCAAATGAGTTCACACCGTGTATATAATTTTTTGCCTTGTTTTTCACTTACCATTTACTAAAAACATTAAATATTTTAATTAATGGCTATATAAAATTCCACATTGTGGAACATTACTTGACGATTTCCTCATTTTGTATATTTGTCCAAAATTTGTCCATTACAAATAGACACACATTCTTTCACATATATTTTGGTCTCAATCTATGAATATTTTCCTTAAGATATATTCCTAAAAGATACATTACTCACTTCTGACTAAAAACTATACTGTGTATCTTGAAGTAAACATTTAGAATAAAAGGCCTAGGAAACTCTCTTAACAATAAAAGCAGATATGTGCATTAAAAGCTTAATAACCAAACTTGCTACTATGTACCCTCCTAACAAGATAAGAAAGTGACGTATTTTTCATGCTTACAAAGTTTAAGATAAATATGAAACTAGTCTATTCAAAATGTCCTTCAGGCCAACCAACTGTAAGGGTGTATGTAACTCCACAAAGTCCTTTTCCAGAATCTCCAAGCACAACTAGCCTCCAAACCATTTAGGAGCCCGCAGATGATTCTGCAGTGATTCAGTGAATTGGTTTCCTAAAGACCTTGCTTCCAGCAGCTGCCTGCTCTGTCCCTGCCTGGCCTGGGCATCATTACCTGGGACGGCCACTAGAGGGAAGCCGGGGACAGAGAAAAGAGTTTAACATTCATGGGCCAGTTTTCGGCATCAGCTTTATTTTATTTTATTTTTTTAAAGATTTTATTTATTTATTTGACAGAGAGAGACACAGCGAGAGAGGGAACACAAGCAGTGGGAGAGGGAGAAGCAGGCCTCCCGCCGAGCAGGGAGCCCGACGTGGGACTCGATCCCAGGACCCCGGGATCATGACCTGAGCCGAAGGCAGACGCCCAACGACTGAGCCACCCAGGCGCCCTCGGCATCATCTTTAATTCACCAGATAAGCAAGGAAAAGTAAAACACGAGGCACTGAAGGGAAAACCAATTTCGGAAATAAATAACCATGCAAGTAAAGAAATACGAAATTCTCTGAGTATACACTCTTCCCTTTTCCTCAGGGAGATTAACCAAAAGGTGCAGAATTCTGAGAGCTACCCATTAGAAAAAATTAAATACCAGGAATCCAATTAAAAATCACAGACCTGTACCTCTGAAACAAATAATACATTATATGTTAAAAAAAAAAAAAAAAGAAGATAGTAGGAAGGGAAAAATGAAGGGGGGAAATCGGAGGGGGAGACGAACCATGAGAGACTATGGACTCTGAGAAACAAACTGAGGGTTCTAGAGGGGAGGGGGGTGGGAGGATGGGTTAGCCTGGTGGTGGGTATTGAGGAGGGCATATTCTGCATGGAGCACTGGGTGTTATGCACAAACAATGAATCATGGAACACTACATCAAAAACTAATGATGTAATGTATGGTGATTAACATAATAAAATATAATTTTTAAAAAAATTGGGTGACAGCATGAACAACTGGTGCCTTTAGATCTTTGCAGATGCAGAAGGGGAATTCAGAGCAGATCTCGGGCTTCGGCCTCCTAAACACCTGCGTTCCACTCTCTGTCTCTCGCTAGCTAGGTAGTTGTGGACAGATTACTTAACCTCTCCGAGCCTCCGTTTCCTCTTTTATAAAGTGTGGCTAGCGAGGCAGCCTGCCTACGGGCGGTTGTGAGCATCAAACAAGAGACTGGACATAACAGGCTTGGCACGTAGGAAATGCCCAATCAGTGCTGGCCCATTGTGATCTCTTCTGCCTCTCTCCTCCCTCCTAAACTGTTTCCCATTTCCAGCTGGTCGCTTCCGATTTCTACCCGCTGTCCATCATGGCATCAAAGTTAAGATGACTAAAACCAAAGTCCTCTTCTCCCTCACTCACTCCCTGACCTGCTGCTATCGCTCTGATTGGCTCTTTCTCAGAACAGACCATGAAACATAACATCCTCTCTAACACTTCCTCTCCTCCTATAACCAAAGCCAATTAGTTTACAAAACAGGTCGATTTGTTCTCTAATGTGTCTCCATCTGGTTCCCTTCTCTCTGTTGGCAACCTGTTCTCTTTGCCCCACTGGGTCCTGTCTTAACTGGGCAAATTTTATTGATGTCATTTCCCTTTCCAAAGCCCCTCAGTGGCTTCCCAGTGGCTTTAAATTAGATTCTAAACTCCTCTGTCTGGCATTACTGTCCCACCCCAGTCTGACCCCAACCTCCTCCAGACGCTTCTCTCTGGCCCCATATGCTCACTGCCCCGGCCCCTGTCAAGCTGTTGACTCATAGCTCCCTGCTACGGTTGCCAGATTTAGGAAATTAAAACAGGGGACACCCAGTTACATGTGAATTTCAGATAAACAACAAATAATATTTCTGAATACATATGTCCCATGCAGTTGGCTTCACACACTGGTGCAATGGGCCCACGTTACACTAAAAACAGTCTGTCGTCTCTCTGAAATTCCCATTTAACTGGGAATCCTGTTTTCCATCGGACAGTCCTATTCCTTGGGCACACCGAGAATATTGCTATCTCATAGGAATGTGCAGAGGCCCCCACACACAGCTCCCATCCTGTTCTGGACACTCTTATCGCTTGCTATTCCCATCAGCTCTTCCGCCCTGCGAGTCAGCTCACCCTCATAACTCCACGAAGCCTGCCCGGACCAGGACTTCCTTACCTGGTACCCACTCTCTACACCGTTCATTTAGTTAATAATGAATGTGGTGTCGGATGCTTTGTATCTTACGTAATTCCCTTTCTCAGAGTAAATGCTGAGTTAGCAAAGGTAAAGATTGCTGTATAAGTAGGGAAACTTAATAAATATGCTTTAGTGGTATCGTGCTGCTATTAACCTGTAATATAGGGAGTGCGGGGATGAGGCATCGGAGAAAGAAAACCTCTAGAGGCCACTTATCAGAGACACACTAAAACCAATATGTGACTCCCCCCGCCCCGCCCCCGCATCCCCACAGCCAGGTGGGCGCAGCCGCCTGACCTTGGCATGCTTCTCCCCACACTCCACTTCAACATATCCTACAAGTTATGGACCACATGTGCTGACTTTTCCATTTCTCACCGCTTCACACTATCTCTAGAGTCATCTGATTTCACTTGTATTTAAATGTGAGGGCCAGAGGTGGCTCTATCATATAACCTACAAACACAGAGCAATTACAAGAGTCATGCTGGAAATCAAGCAATACATTTCTACTTAATTAATAAAAAAGCTAAAATTAGCTAACTCTAACATCAAATAGCCTCAGGAGCTTGAAAGTACATCAAGAAACTGGTGAAACGATTAAATAATCCCCCCCAAATCTATTTTAAATAACTGGGATTTCATGAATATATTTATAAGCATCTGTGGGGCCTCCAGAAACCAATGACCAACCATAAGATTTCTAAAAGTGAAAAAAAAAATACATTCTTAGAACAAAAGGCATAACGCCTAATTTTCTCTATTATTTAAACCTTCGACAGTGTTTAAACCATTTCTATTCTCGTAAATATGTCAGATGAGAGAGTTGTTTTGAAACCGTAAGGGCAGGGAACTCAACATTCCCGAAATCAAGATCACGGTCAGCACTGTGTCTATCACTAGACCCACATGGGGGACAATTAATGAAGTGACCTTGGGTTTCACTTTGGGGAAATAATAAAACAGATTCAGAATTAACTTGGCAGCACGGGGGTGTCTTGGAAATGCGTGCTAAGAGTTTATTTGTTTCTTCAGATCCATCATATTTATCCAGATTAACTTTATTTACCTCTTTCTTTGTACGGATGAAGTTCAACGAAGAAAACTTGTTCTCCCTATTCGAGAATACTATGCTTTACTACAGTTTCCAAGGATGAATTCTAATTTTCTAATCAGAAAAAAAAATAACCCTTAAATTCTCCTAGGAAAGAGAGCAGCCAACGAGCTCCACGTGGAGACAGAACCATGGCTTGGCGTCCTCATGCCATTGGAAATCTGGCTGGCTCAGCCTCTCTGGCTCCCGGCTTTGCTATCTCCTTGTGACAGATTCTCAACATACCAATCTCAAACTGGGATAAGCCGGAATAACAGCAACACGTTTCCTTCTGCTCTTTCTTTTCAACAGACCGCTAGAAATGTATTCCTTTGTTGTCCCTGCGACAACATTAATCAAGTTCCTCCAGGACACTAATGTGGGTATTCTCAGCGGTGGATGCAAATACGGTGCATCACTTAAACAAACGTACTTGTTTGATGGCAAGGAATGTTAAAAGAATTTGGAATGTTCCTAGGAGCTTTCCAAGTTTTTGTGAGCAACACCAACTGTTCCTGGATTTAACCCATTCCCTTTTGACCTTTCCACTTCCAAACCCGGGGGCAATTTTCAGGCCACTCAGAAAATGTATGTGACACAGATGTTTTGAAATCCTAACTTAAATGTAAATAATTATCGTGAACACTTTCTATCACTGGAGCTGGTCAGTGCTGTTTTTGGTGCTTCTGGAAGGTTCTCCTTTGTCTGAAAATGAATGTCCAGGAAAAGAAGCTTTGTATTAAAAACAACAAACAACAACAACTTCCTCTTCACTTACTTTTCTACGAAATTTAACTTTCAGTTAAAGCAACTTTTCTAAAGTTGACTATTTTTGCTTGAGAGCCAATTTAAATGTATTCTAAACCGGCAGTGATCGAAGAAATGGTACATGGATTATTAATCAGCAATTTGAAAGGACTGGACAGACAAACTCAAGAAATTATTTTTCAAAAATGATCTTCAGTAAAATCATTTATACTATTTAATCCCTGGCGATGATGAAACAGAAGAAAACTTAATGGACATAAAGTTATCTTAAGGAAACAACTACTATTTCAAGAGCAGTATTTATCACTGTTACTTACAAACTGAAGATGTCCTGATGGAGACAGGTTTCTACATTTCTTCAGAAATATAAGCAAGCTTACAAGCTTTTCATGAGGCCCTGCCCTCACAGCATGCATACTGTCTCTGGCTAATGCCCACTGCTCACCATATGCATGTAGACAAAACAATGGACAGTCTTAAAAATGACACTTACCTTAACTCACAGATGTGGAATCATTTCCAACTCATCCTTCTGTTGAACTGTCTTCTTTCCGCTTCGCCAACCCCTCACAAGTTTCTCTTCATGCATGAAAACACCTAGAGATTTCTGTTCTGTCTTCTAAAACGCTGCCATCACCTCCATAGCCCCAAGGCTGGTCAAAAGTGGGGAGAGAAAAAAAATCTCAAATTTGCAAGCTGTTTACTCCTCACGACGACAGTGAAGCTGCTAAGCTTTGAGCTCAATGAATTAAAGGTTGTTTGGCTAAATGGCAGGCACACTTCCTCCTATTCTTTCTGAACTTAGTTTTCCTGCCTCCAGTGGAGCTTTTTCCTTTCCTGGGCTATAAATAGGCTGGTCGTAAGAGCACTGAGGAAAGAAGAAGGCAGGAAATGTATGTGATTTCAAAAAGCAGTCTGAGGTGTGTGTGTGTGTGTGTGTGTGTGTGTGTGTGTGTTCCCTTCAAGTGAATACCAATAAACAAGCTAAGGGAAATTCAGCTTTGGTCATGGTACCATAGTCAAAGTTTAACTTCCTATCATCTTGGTTGTGCTAAATTGACATTTACCACAAGCAAAGCTTGGGGTTGGAGATGTACCATTTTCTATATAAAATACCATCCACAAACCTACATCACCTCCTTCATTTCCCAAGGGAATGACCTACAAAGTGAATTTCCTGGGGGAAATGAGGTAGGGGGCAGACCACGGGGATCACCACACTGATTTCATTTGAAAGGAACTGAAGTACTTTCGGAGGCAAGGTTCAACAACAGGAAGATATCAACAGGTGGACGAGAAAAGCAGATACTTTGGCTTAAAAGAAATGATGAAGCTAAGTTTATAGACCAGTCAGCCATTGGCATTAAACTAAAGACTGTCCACGGTTTCACTACTCAAATTTGTTTAACTTCTCTCATAATTATAGACAACATAAAATAAAAATTAGATCTCATTTTTCACATATCAGATGGACAGAGCCAAATGTTGATATTGTCTGATACCATTCGAGTGTGGAGGAGTAAGAATTCCCATAACAGTCGATGAAAGTACCAACTGGCATCAACTGTGTGGAGGGCAATTCTCAACTTCTTTCTAAATGTGGTGTTCACATACTCTAACAAAATATTTAAACCTGGTTGGTTTGGCAAAGTGGGAGTACAGATCTGGAATGCGGGGACAGTTTGGTTTGTGATAGACATATTTAGTGCTCTTTTGTTTTTTATAGTATGCATCCCATGCTTTAAAAACTTACTAATTTTCAGGATGCCTGGGTGGCTCAGTTGGTTGGACATCTGTCTTCGGCTCAGGTCACGATCCCAGGGTCCTGGGATCGAGCCCTGCATCGGGCTCCCTGCTCAGCGCGGAGCCTGCTTCTCCCTCTCCCTCGGCCCCTCCCTCTGCTTGTTCCCTCTCTCTCTCTGACAAATAAATAAATAAAATCTTTAAAAACGTACTAATTTTAAAGAAAAAATGTTATTATTTAAGATCCTTCCTATGATTTTATTAGTTATCTATTGATCATCTATCATTTTCTGTCGGTCATCCCACATTTACCATCTGTTAACAAGCTGCTCTTTACATGAGGGGAACACTTTGAGAAGCAACACAGGGGAAGCCAGAGAATCTCTTGATAGGAGGGGCTACTCAGCGTGCTGTCCGCTCTCTGTGGACCAGTAGCCTCAGTAGCTGTTGGATCAGAATCTCAGGGGGTGGCGGGGGGTGGGCAGCCATCTGTGTGAACTCCAGGTGACTCCAATGCTCACTACAGTATGAGGAGCAGTGGTCTATAAAATTATTTTATTAATATCCCACCTTCTGAAAAGGATTTGGTGACTATAGTGAATAACACTGTAATGTGTATTTGCGAGCTGCTGGAAGAGTGGAACTTAAAAGTCCTTATCACAAGAAAAAAACGTAACTATGTTTGGTGGCAGATGCTAACTCGACTTACTGTGGTGATCATTTCATAATATATACCAACAGCGAGTCATGATGTTGTACACCTGAACCTAATACAACGTTATATGTCAATTATACCCTGATTAAAAAAAATAAAACTGAACAGGATTTAAGAGAATTGATTTTGTTTTAGGGAAGAATAAGGAAAACTTCTAAATGCTTTTTATGCTGGTGACTCCTATTTAGACGACCAGAAGAATATTTACATATAATGTTAGGAAGACACTAATTTCCCTGTTACCGTGGAAGTGCCACCTGAAGCAAAGCAAAAGCAGTGGCAAGAACAAGCTGATGGCATTTAAGGGAGAGACAAAAGCTCTCTCTTACTTGTGGTAGTCATAATAAAAATAGATAAAAGTCAAAGCCACCTTTACTAATATGTATATTTGAAAATGATACGTGGCCTGAAGTAAGATGAAACCAAAGAAAACAGGAAGAAATTAAGTCTCTGGAGGAAAACAAAATGTCCCATTTCCCTATTTTTGGTTTAGTGATTTGATTATTGTTTTCGGATCCAGCCATCCCTTGCTGTCCATTTGTAGCCTTCATGCTAAGACCTGTATATTAGAAAGAATAGGTTAAACAATGAGCTCAACCAGAGCTGGTGGGGGAAAAGCAAGAGTATGTACATTCCCAGGCACAGATGGGGAGGAAAAGATTTCTTTAAAAAACAGAGAGAGAGAAAGGAGTGAATGACCCCGTTGTAATAGCAGAAAGGAAGAAGGAAGTCCAAGGTGGTCAGGATATAACAGCTGTAATGTACTGAAATGATTAAAGGGACACAAGTTGACATTGGCCAGTAAATGTCCAGCCACAGGGTAGGATGTTTCTGGGAGCAAACCATGCTCCCATGTGCAAAGCATGAACTCCGCAAAGAAACTCCAAGTCTATTTACCAGGCTTTCATTGTTCACTAGAAACGTCCCTTCTCTTTTTGTGGGGAAGTGTTTTCCTTCTCACAAAGAACAGCTTCACAGAGCTCCTGATATAGGCCATCTCTAAAAATGAAGCATTAAAACCTGTATGGGAACAGAAAGGTTCTGTGTTCTTAATCTAAAATTAATGATAGACTCTCTCAAAAGGCATTAGGGGAAAAAGTCAAAAGACCTCGTGGGGAAAGGAAATGTGGGACTTTCTTCCACTATTTTGGTTTTGCAAGTGGAGGAAAATAACACTTTTTTACTGTAGTCACCTACAAATTTCAATGTATATAATAGAGAGGAAACCCAAGCAAAACTTGTCAAAGAAAATGCAAGAAAATCTGCATATTTTTGTTCAAGTGGAATACACTGTACCTGAAGGCCTTATAGATATTTTTAATAAAAGCCTATCTTTGTTCACAATGTGCATAAGTGCTAGGTGATTACACGTTGTGGGGAACCGTGCTCCTTTGACTTGAATTGTATCATTCTTTTTTTTTTTTTAAAGATTTTATTTATTTATTTGACAGAGAGAGACACAGTGAGAGAGGGAACACAAGCAGGGGGAGTGGGAGAGGGAGAAGCAGGCCTCCCGCGGAGCAGGGAGCCCAATGCGGGGCTCCATCCCAGGACCCTGGGATCATGACCTGAGCCGAAGGCAGACGCTTAACGACTGAGCCACCCAGGCGCCCCTGAATTGTATCATTCTAATGAAAATAAATCAGAACTCCTGGAATGACTAACTGAAAGAATGCAGGTAAGGGATGGACCTCTAAATTGTAGTAGGAACTCTGAAAAGATGGTTGAAGGTTAGGAAGGAGACCTACACTACAAAAATAAAATATAAAAGCTAACAACTCTTTGAAGGAACGAGAACACTTAGTGGGATGGTAATAAAACTTTTCTATTAATTTCATTAAAACTGAGTTGTGTTCGTCAGTAGTTTATTTTTACTTAGTCTAATTGTCAGTAAACAATAATGTTAAAGTTACCTTGCAAAATTCCAAGAATCCCGGCACAAATGAAACAGTTCAGGATATCTCCCAGGAGAGGCCCAGCCTTGGTAAAGTTCAGTGGGAAAATCTAAACCAGACTGCCTGCCTTCACTAGCTTGGGCTTTGGCCTCTCTTGGTATTCTGTCACTGCCAAGCACCTAAAATAAAACAGCACTAGTTTCCATGGAATAAAGGAAAAAAAAAAAAAGGATCCTGAGACTCTCCAATAATAAATGCCTAGAGCAGTATCAATTTTGTCATGACTAAAATCTGATGTCATCATAACTAAGGAAATAATAATTGGTGTTGTGGTAAAAGTTTTTCTATTGATTTTGAAACAAGGACACTTTCTTTTTGCTGTTACTGCCAGTTGTGTGTCCCTTTGGGAAAAGCCTTTGAACCCAACCATAAGCTGGTTTGTGAAAGCCACTGCTGGGAAGAAATATGCAGAAAAGAAAGCAGATCGCTGTAGGGACAGGGCATGACACACTTCTGAAGGCAGAGGGAGATTACCATGGGTTCCAAGAGCATTGGTGCCCAAATATTCCCTTATTTTTGTGCAACATTTGGAAGGAAGAAAGGAAGGAGGGGAAAGAACGTGGCAGCGAAATTGATTTGCTGAGCAAAAATTAAAATTTATTGCTTTGAAAGTCGCTCTGGTCTAGTAAAGGCCAAGTGGTAGGTTGCTTGCTAATTTAATAGTGCATACAGTTTCCTTACTTAAAAAACTGTATTTGTTTGAATTCACAATAGAGTCAATACACTCCATAATCCCCTGAACCATATAATTATGTAACTAATGAAAGCAATTCAAAATGGGTTTATATTGATATTGTAAGGTGAACATGAACACAAGTTTTAGAATTCTAACACAAATTATGGTGTGCAAAATCTCCCCCAAATAGATGCAGCAAGTTAAAATAAGTGAGTCTTCTGGTCATATTCAATATGACCAAGAGATTCTCTCTTCCTTGCTGGCTTTGAAAAAGCAAGCTGCCATGTTGTGAGCTGCTTCTGGAGACCACTACATGGCAAGAACCTGGGGGTAGCCTCCTTCCAACAGCCAGCAAAAAACTGAGGCCCTCAATCTGAAAGCATGCAAGGAACGGACGTTGCCAACAATCACATGAGCTTGGAAGCAGCTCCTTCCCCAGTTGAGCCTCAGATAAAACCAAAGCTCAAGCCAATACCTCGACTGAAGCTTTATAAGACTCTAAAGAAGTAGACCCAGGTAAGCCCTATCTGGCCAGGCAAGCTATAGAAGAGTCTCCTGTCAGGATGGTTTATGTCTAGCCATATGTAAGGTAATCATATACACATAACCTTGTATATCCCATTACCTTTGCTGCATTTTATTGGTTAGAAGCAAATTACAGGTCCTGCCCATACTCTGGGGGAGG